CACTGTATCAACTAATAGTTGAATCAAACATGTAGGAAATTAGCCAAATGAACTGAATGAACACATAATAGGTGGAAGACTTCACATGATTAATGTCTCATTGGAAGAATGAGTGCCTCAAGTAGAGCTTTAGATAGTGGCTTAACCACCTAGCACACCTTAGACCTGAGAACATAATCCCCAGTTCAGAGGATCACTGCTCCCATTGTGTGACCTTTGCATGAAGTACAGTGCTGGTGAGGAAGATGACATGGCTGTGTGGAGAAGAAGCTCTTCCTTCCCAGCCACTACTCTGACCACCAGTTGTTCCTCAGTGAACAAGTTAATGGCAGTTAGATTAGTGCACTGTGGGAAGAGGGAGTTTGTGTGAAGTATTAGAGATAACAGTTAATCTGGAGGGTGGGTTGACCTGATAATGATGTAAGAGATTTGGATCCTCTTTGATGGGGTCTGGGATCCTGACAGTAGCAAACGTTTCAGCTGAAATTACAGATATGAATGATAACTCAAATGGGTTTGCTTATGAATGGTTCAGTGATGTAATATATTTAAGTGCCTTGAAATTATAAATTACGAAATAGATGTGATGATATTGTTATGAAATTGTCAACAGACCAAAATAATAATGTTTGGTGAATAGGTAGGATATGGCCTGCATCTGAATAAGGAGAAATATTACTTGAAGTTTTAAAATAACCCGGACACAGCCAGCTCTCTGTATGCACCTTATGTATTAAACACCGGACGCCATTGTTTTTATTGTTGTTATTGCATTACAAATGGCTGGTTTGAAGTTCGAAGACATCTCACGTGTTGTCTTACCAATCACAAGCTGAGATGAGTATTAAATCAAACAATCCAGCCGAAGTTTCTTGTTGCTGTGATTTTATTTTATGTGAGTATAATGCCAGATTTGTACAATATTGTGTTTTTCACAACCAGAACAAAAGGCAGAATGGTTTTGATCACATGCAGCCTGATACAATGAAGGTAATTGTTTTACAAATACACATGTGTACTTCAATTGGGAATTAAATTTTATCATTTTATTTGTCAATTTATTTGCATTAACATGCTTTTAAGGAAAATTCTTCATACATTTTTTGGGAGCCAAGGTTTACCCTGCGGTGCATCGACGAGCTTTAAGTCGAGGGATTACTGTATATTCAAGGGAAATCAAATTCATGTTGCCATAAGCAATGCTTGGGACCAGTTCAAAAGTATGATGTCAGATAAACATTCCTCATTCCTTAAGTTTTTACATAATACTTATTCACTTGTATTAAAACATTGACTACTGTAAGCTCACTCGACAGAAGGTCACATGAGCTTATGTCATGACCTGTTGCTTGTCAGGCATCCTTTGACACCTACAGTGTCCAACCCAGACCGCGCGATTGCGCGATTCACGCTAAAAAAAATCAAATACACTTACTTGATCAGCTGTTTATCCCTACCTTTAGGTTCAATACTCACTAAATCTTTAATCAATTAACGAAGAAAGACAGTTCACAGCAAACATTGTAAACAACTGTTGAAGACCGATCGATAATAACCGGAAGTTCGAACACGACTTACGTCCCTTGGGTTGCTGAATAAATTATCGACAGGATTTGCATAGGAAACAAAATTTAATTTACTTTAGTAGAAAGCGTATCAAACTTTGATCAAAATTATGTTGTATTTTGTTGTTTAGTAATCAAAAACCTTTGTCAAGATGTTAAAAGACAATAAATATTCTATCTTGAATAGTTCTGAAAATATTTTTGAGCATTTTAGTTCGTTTTAGTTTCGTTTCTGAAATCACACAATATGAATCGCCGACTGTCATTGCAGACGATATTTTGAATAGTGAAAATGTCGCCAAAAAAAATAAAAAATTACAGACTTTTTTAATCAAAATAGATGTTCTAAAAAAGACAATGATGAAACCACAGTCACTGTAATTACTTCTCAAACTTCTTAATCATTCAATCATTATTGGATTTATTGATTAAAATTTGATAGAAAAAAAATCACAAAGCATTGTTATTCATTTCAGTTCTTTATTCTGATCTGTTACACTTTTATATGATGATGTTCTAGTAAATAATACAAAATAAGACATTTTTGAAGAAAGCAGTTATCCCCCCTACTTTTTCAAAATCCCCCCTATTTTCTACATGATGGGGGGACAAGTCCCCCCTTGATTTTCAATTCTGGGTTGGACACTGCACCTGTAGGCATCTTCTCCTCTAAATTTCCTGTGGTAAAGATGCTGATTCTTCACATGCTTGTTCCCAACAATGATGACTCCTGGTTCAAGATGTTCAAATCCTATTTCAAAATGCCAGCAAAATTCAAATTTCACAATGTTCTTATTTTTCTTTCTCAATAGCCACATGTTAATTGTTATGGAAAGCTGAATCTGTGTGTGAATGATTTTTGCTATTAGTAGGTTTGAAAGGCCATAGGTCACCATCTATAATTGATGAACATTTTCAAAGGATCATATTTTAAAGTGTAATAGTTGGTGTCACCAAAATGTAATCAAATTACATTCTTGACTTTAAAAAGGTGGGCACCATGGCCCACTTTACTAAAATGTTGGCCATTCAGAAATACACATGATGATACATCATTCCAAAATGCCAGTCTTGTGCACTAAGAACTGTACCATTTTGAATAAGGAAGATAGATCCAGAACTGTACCAGTTTTAGCATACTGATTAAACAGAAAAGATCACCTCGCATGGACAAAGCAAACTTTTTCATTCTGTCCTCTCGTTCTCATGGCATACGAGTTTCATATGACAGTCTAAGCCATGGGGGGGGGGCGGGCATGAATGGCCCAGTCGTCTTGGGTTCGAATCCCGGTTCGCCCTGATTATGTTTCTAGGTTTGTCAGCAACATACCCGTGCTCGTTTGTAAACAGTGAAAGTAGCCTACTTGACCTTTGATATTTGCATCTCTATCCGCATATAATCCCAACAGATATCGTTTCTTTCCGTTGGCTTTATCCTGCCGAGAAACCTACCCGTTATATGATAAAATGCAGTACTGGTGAGTGCATGTTTTGGAGTTACAAGCAAAACAAACTCATGCTGTTTTGGTTATGGGTATACTTTATTTGTTTTATTAGATTGGAATTAGACAGGGCACCATCATAGTCGCTCCATAATTTCAATGTGTGTCATTTGAAAACTGAATGCGCAATTGGCACAGTGGCAAGGCTTAGAATGAACTCTTGTTATCATGGGCAATAATAATCAACATTGGAAGAGCATATCTTTGACCCAAGTGCACATATGCCTGCCACCATGTAAGCTTGAATTATCTGCATACATGGAGGAGCAATGGCAAGAAGTAGGTTTTCACATATGGTTGCCATGGAAACCAGAATTTCTTGAAAGAAACCGTTCTGGCAATATAACGAGAGATGATCAAGGCAAGAGTTTTGAAACCTTATTCTCAAGAACCACCAGGAGAAAGCTGAAACTTTGTATGGAATGAGTAGATTCAAGTTTTCTCAAGGCATCGTGATTGGCAGCCAGCTTTGGTGGAGCATTGTAAAGATATCTTTTTCTTTTTCTCAGATTGCATTACAACACATGTTCTAAAAAGTTGTTGACTGCAACGATGTGGCTATGTCCTTTACTCTTTCCTAGAATCTATTGCACCAATAATACATTGATGTTTGTCACCATAATCAGATTGAAGCTGTTGAAGATATGTCCAGGTGAACTACAGGGCAGTGCCACATTTTTTGTAATATCATGTAACTAAAAAAAAATGTTCCTGAGAAAACAGTGTCTGGGGTGCAAGGTGAAAATGTGAAAATTTATCTTGAAGTTTATGACACCATCCAATCTTAACAGCCTGTTTTTAACCTTCTGTTTGCCCTTGTTCAGGTGTGGATCCACACACTATAACTGCAAGCTCCCTCCAATCTTGGGTTCCTTTGTTAAGTAGCCCTGTGTGCCCTGTGTGCATGTATGTGTTGGGTTCCAGTCACATCAGCTATTTGTACACCTGTCATATGATTGATTGGCTTACAACATGTCATATGCACATGACTGTTGGTTGCGTGCATGCATGCATGTGAAGATGCAAGCCAGTATGATGTTGTTTGGCACATGCCTGTATGAATGGGTCATACTGGAGTTGATGCACACAGATGCTGTGTAGAAAGTGTGGGAGTATACAACATACTAGACGGGTAGATTTTAGAGCCTGCAGATTGGGACTCCTGGTATCTATCTCTGTTTTGGCTGCAGCCGTCACTGACAAGTGAAGGGACATTTATGAATTTATGTCATGAACTAGCATCATGATGTCACTCATTTCCTTTGATGGCATTGCTATGGCAGCCTAGTTAAGAACATTTGAAACTTTGTTGTGTATGTTTGTGGGTCTTTCTGTGGAGGTAATACAATTTTTTTATTAACTCCATTCAAGTGAAAGACTAGAACATTGCCCTCCATACATGACACCAAATGCTAATCCCAGATGTCTGGGCATTCAGCAGCAGTTATTTACTATCAACACAATCTTACACATGTGTTCAAGTTAGATGATCACAAGACTTGGTGCACATTTTATGCTTCTTCAATGACAATGAGGACAATAGGCCAGCATCATTCAGATATCTGCTACCTGTTATGGGTGTAAGGGGTAGCCCTGTTTTCACAGTGTGCATGAGTCATCCCCAAATTAAGGCTTCAATTCACAACATGAGTACTTTTGTGCAATCCAATTGGGATACTGCTGCAATGGTTTCAGAATGTGTAAAGTGTTATACAAACATGTCAATCCAACAATTCAGTCTGCCTACAAATACTGTTATACAAAGATACCAATTTACTTCATTTCAGATGGCCTACAGGTTCTGTTATACAAAGATACCAATTTTCTTCATATCAGATGGCCTAAAGGTTCTGTTATGAAGGGTACCAATTTTCTTCATTTCAGATGGCCTACAGGTTCTGTTATACAAAGATACCAATTTTCTCCATTTCAGATCGCCTACAGGTTCTGTTATACAAGGATGTCAAAGAAGCAATGCGTGATGGTGGCAAGCCCAAGTCAGTGTTTCCACTGGAAGGCTTCTATGGTATTGAGTCGTTCCAGTTGGACAAGGAGGCCAATGTTATGGCACTGGTGTGCCAAAAACAGGTCACTCTCCTGGCCTACGAGTCACGAGAAAACATGATACAGTTTGAAATCAAAATACGCAGAAGTCTTGGCCAGGGTAGGTATTGGACATGAATTACATACTCAGTGTTCCAGAGTTCAAGCAGGCTTCCAGAACACACTCATTCTTGTGTTTACCCTGGTTATCTTCGTGCATCAAGGTGCAATTCCTCACTCATGCAAATACCATTACATGTAAACAGCTCCGTGAAGATCTGGGTTAGAATAGGTCTTCAGCAACCCATGCTTGTCTTAACAGGCGACCATGGGATCAGGTGGTCAGGCTCACTGACTTGGTTGATGCAAGTCATTGTATCCCAATTGCGTGGGGCGATGCTCATGATGTCAATCACTGGATTGTCTGATCCAGACTTGATTATTTACAGACTGCCCTCATGTAGCTGGAATATTGCTGAGTGCGGTGTTAAATAACAAACAAACATGTAAACACCCACTGAGAATTATGGGTTTTCTGATAGATACAGAATTGTGACCAGTTGGAATGAATACTTGCACTTGTACATATCAATGTTATAACAATGTGGACTGCATTCAAAATGTCGCCCTACATGGGGCCCAGCTTCATTCTGCCAATCAAGTCCAAGTCTCAATATTATGCTTTTATCACTGTTTATTTATGACCAAGTTTGAGGTTATTTGATGTTAGTTGGATGTGAGCACAAATAGGTACACCCTGCGGTACTGACTCTCCCCTCCAGGAAACTGCCTTGGACAAGTTGCAAGGTTAAAAATAACACTCGTGCTTACTTCAAAACAAATTGACATCAAAAGAGCTGAATTTAGAAGAACCTATTCATGTTTCTCTCATGTTTGAAACTGATGACAGAAATAATAGAAATTGATTCTGTGTTTGTGATGTACAAGTTTCAGTAACTTTAAATAGCTCAAGCTCATTGGAAACGACAAGTACAACAGGAAGTGGAGATGTTTTCTGTGAAGTAACTCTCCATGACAAGGTTCTTACTACACACGCCACATTTATCATTGAGACATATTCCTCTTACACTCTCTGTTTTACTGTAACCACCAGGGAAACAAAACTTCCTACTCATTGTTGGTCTTATTAGAACATATGCACCTTTCAGAACATCAGTTTCCGGTAAGACTGGCCAAAGTTCCTCACAACAGTCGTCTCCCTTTGGAGCTGATTCGATTGCACATTCATGGACAGAAGTTCTGTATGACGGCATATATTCCACCCAAAATCCTTCAATCTTGGCAGATATGTGATCTGAGGCGGTTTGGATCTGTGGATGGCAAGTTTTGCTTTGAAGGAGGTTCAAAATGTGGACGAGGTGAGCATTCACATTTTTTCCATGACAGGACTTTCTGGTAAATATTTCTTTTAAATTTGAAATGCGAATGTATAATTGGTAAGAATGTGCTCATAGATTTCCCATTGAAAGCTTATATTTCCCAATACGTTTTAATTAAAGCTTTCATTGATAGAGGGCATTATTGTATTTCTTTCTAAAATTTCTATTGATTGAAATATTTCAGAATTTGTTGATCACCAACATTATCAAAACCTTATATGCAGTATGTCAATACACATGCGAACATCAAGAATAATGTCCCAGTAGACGTGAAGGCAGTTCAATGTCAAGACATGGCTGTTTTCTTTGCAAAGCATAAAAACTTGTATACTCAATGTCTATGATGTTTACGCTTGTAATTTTACAAAAATTGATATATATTATATTGATATGTCTCTGATTAGATGTTTGGTGACCCTCTTATAAGTTCTAGGTAACTAGAAGTAACATTCAAGAAAATGAAACCAAGGAAAACTATTCATTGATAACTCAAGCAGCATTTGTTATTTGTCAGATTATTTTCTCATTGCAAAACTAGTTAATAGTAATAATCAGACTGTTGGCAGTTATTCTTTAGAAACTGTACAGTTGTGACATGACCTATGTTTGACATTTGAAATGTTCCAGCAATAAGTAGGCTGAGACTGAAGGTTAAAGTCAGTCACTGATTGTGTAATACCCTAAGCTTGTTACTACATCAATGGGAGGTCGTCTGATGGTATTTTGACAAATATCTATAAATAAAGATGGAAGTTAGAATTGTTTTTGTTTTTTGGTGTGTCATGCAAACATCTTTCCAGTTAAAATGTAAGCATTATTTTTGGGCTTTGCTATGGAAATTCACTGCGCATTGAAAATTTAGTGAATTTCTTGAATGAGCAAGTGTTTTTAATGTGTTCAAACAGGATTATGGCAGTTGTGTTGTTTCTGAAAGATCAATATTTAAATCATATGTGTAAATACTGGTCTATAGGTTTAGAAAGTTACACATTCTATGGGATATCGCATTTAATTTAATCAAAACCAATGAAAAAGCAAGTCTTAGCTATCTGTATTCCACAAAACAGCATTAGAAACATAATTTTGGAAATGTATTGTGTAATAAAAGATTCATAGACTATATCTTAGCTAAATTCTGTTACTGTTCTGTTGGTAAATCAGTGCACATAGAGCAATACGAAGCAATGTAATATCAAAGGTCAACCCATTTTTGTGACCTATTTTGAAGAAACTGCCCACTGGAGATTGCCTCATTGTTGTTAGATCCCCACAGGGATGAACAGTACAGTTGTTTTCCACATCAACAGGCTTAGATGAAACGTTCAATGTAAGGCTTTAAACATATATATACATGTGTGAATACTGTGGCAGAAAAAACTGTTAGTTTTATTGGAAACTTGAAGCTGGTGTGGGAGGAGTGTGATGACTGATGCTGATGATAATGAAGCTGGATGTTGGACAATAATTCAGAGTTTGAGCTTATGAGGGCAGCATCAGCTTCCTACCCCGGCAATCAAGTACACACATGTAATTGGCTGATAAATTCAGTTTTCCTGAGTGATTCATTATTTGAGGGGTAGGACAAAAGAATGGGGCAGCTTGTTGTTTGCCATGTAGATTGGAGCCTACAGATTGCGCTGGCTGCAGTTTGGAGAACTTCAGTTGCCAGGATGTTTCAGTCGAGTTTCCAAGGGTTCAGATATTTTCTTTCACCAAGTAAATATCTTGACCTACCCGTCAAGCTGACATTTCATAGCTATTCCTTGAAGTTCTCCTTATGAAAGTTGATTTGATAAATACCAGCTAATGGGGCGTTTTTTGCCAGGTCACAATGGCAGTATTCTGCCTGATAAATGCCATGTATTAACAGTCTCTATAAACTATACAACTGTCACTCACATATCTGATATTAGCTATTTTTTAACTTATCCTGCATTACTCCGTATTGCATTTACTGCTGTCTTTGACAGAGAGACGAACTGTGTGAGATCCAGCTGCTGAAGAAAGTTGTCCCAACCAGCTCAGGAGGCAGCGCCCACTCACAGTCGGCACGTGACCCGGAAGTCATGACGTCACACCAAAACACATAACTGCTTTGTCACCTCCACGGACGGACGTACTTTGTATCCCTTGTGGAAATTAAAGCCTATTGTTTGTTTTTTATATTTTGCGTGTTTCTACATTCATTATATGCTGCTACATTGTTAACTGTTATGGGCCGTGACCTTAGGGTCTTCCCATTCGTAAATTGTAACGTTTATCGCTCGTTTGTGGCTCACGTCACAGTAATTTACGGGCGCAATGTTGTTCCCGCCATTTTGTTTTCTTTCCCGCCATTTTGTTTTCTTTCCCGCCATTTTGGCCATTCACCACGTGGCCACGTAATTTCGTGTTCTGCGTTTTGAATTCTCTCTTTGGCTTGGGTAATACATAACATTTATGTATGTTGTTTTGGTGTGCTTAAAGCCTTGCCTTTTCGCCACCTTTCAGCGTAATTGTTTCCTCTCATAAACTTCAATAAAATACGACGTTTTTGAGTTACATTATGTCTCCCGTACTCTGTGGTTTTGCCACATGGTTACGTGTTTGCTTAAGGCTATGCCTTTTCGCTACCTTTTAGCGTAATTGTTTGATCTCATAAACTTCAATAAATATTATGTTTTTGAGTTACTTTATGCTTCCCATACTTTGTGATTCGGCCACATGGTTATGTGTTTGCTTAAAGCTATGCTTTTTCGCTACCTTTTAGCGTCATTGTTTGATCTCATAAACTTCATTGAAATACAAAGTTTCTGAGTCACATTATGCTTCCCGCACTTTGTGGTTTTGCCACATAGTTATGTTTTGCTTAAATTCCAGATTTTCTGCCTCGCTGCACTTGTTGCCGCGGTAACAAATCTGGTCGGGGCCGCCCCTTTCTGCCGTGATTGTACGACGCCCTGTACTTACACAAGGCAGTGCCGAGGTTGCAGTTATTTCGTCGCTGTGATCCTTCAGCTCATGCGAGTATCCAGGACACACCTCGCTCAACGTGCTCGTCGACCCCCATCTATGTGAAGGCAGCAGCGCTCAGCGGAGCTGCGCAGTGCTCCCAACACTACCGACGGCTCCGGCGCTCCCAACGTAGAGTCTGCCTCCCATGGCACGACATACGACCGTTCACGGTCTCCTACACCATCTTCGTCGACAACGCTGATGTCTCCGGCGCCTCTGTCTCCGGCGCTCCTGGCGCCTCTGATGTCCCCGGCGCTCCCGGCACCTCTGGCGATCCCGGCGCCTCCGCATCCTCTGATGTCTTCGGCGCTCCCGGCGCCTCTGATGTCTCCGGCGCCTCTGGTGCTCCCGGCGCCTCTGATGTCTCTGGCGCCTCTGATGTCTCCGGCGCCTCTGATGTCTCCGGCGCCTCTGATGTCTCCGGCGCTCTTCCTCGGCGCTCCCTGGGTTTTCCACGACGCCCATGGGGGTTCCGCGTTTTATCGCAAAACTCGGGTACGCCACTTGTTCATCTCTCACACAGTTCATTGAGGATTGTCTGTGTGTGGAGTTTGCACCTCAGTTCCGACTCCAATGCGGCTTTCTCGGCTACTGCGCAGAGTGATTTACATGTCACGTGTCAAGTACTCCGACTGTCATTAACTCCGACCGGAATTAGGTCAACTTACCATGGCAAGGGGTGCCATGTATTTCTACAGATTGGTTTCCATGTTTACCTGTACGCTTGGTGCAACCACTCAACCAGGCGCCTGTCGCAGTCCATCCATGCACGGATGTTGGAAACAATAGACCTCCTCTACCAACACGGCTGTCACGAGGAACCTTGTTTCTTCAACCCTTCGCTATAAGAACGATAGCGCCTATAGGCGTTCAAGGGATGGAAAAGATCGCCTTCCTTCGTCCGGTTTGATCTTTTAGACTACGACACCTTCCTGTCTTCCCCCTTGACTACCGGACACAGTGTTGATTTGATACTTAAAGTCTCTCCACCGTCCCGCTGACCGCTGTTGCATACCTGTCTCGTATTGTGTTGTAGTCCTCCATCGTCACCTCACTATAAGAACAGGAGTACTTATACGCCGCTTCAGGGATGAAAACGATCTCATTACTTCGTGCAATGGACATATTGCCTCGACTTCCTACTACCCGGTTATCGCAGAGCCCTGTTGCTGACTTCTCCATTTTGCAATCTTGTAGACGACCTCATTTACCATGACTTCCAGTTCTTCCACTGCCACCTTGTCAGTGGCTAGTGGCCCACACCATGCAGCCCACATTGTGACCACCTGTGATCCGGAGATCAACACCATTGACACAGCAACAGCCTTGGAGATAAAGGCTTATCCAGGACGTCACTTGCTGACAGTGCATTCTCGGTCACGCCCTGTTGATCGTGTTCACTGACGACGTCACCGTAGTGTGGTGTTTGAGGACCCAGGGTACTCGCCCCTCTCCCGGCGCTACAAACTCGACCGGCGCCCCCAAGAATCACCATCTTCGGCGTTCCAGGCGCCTCAAGCTCTCCGACGCCTCACGCTCTCTGGCGCCTCTGGCCAGACTATGTCAAACGGTCGACACCCCAACCCTAGATCTGTTTGCCTCATATCTGAATGTTGCCAGCTGTCGTCTTCCATTCCACCAGTGCCGGATACGACCGCTGTGGCAGTCGAAGCCTTCCGTCGTTCCTGAGAAGGATTACGCGCGTACTCTTTTCCGACTCCGGTTCTCCCTCCCACGGTTCTTCAGAGATCCAGGCCACTCGACCCCTGCCATTTACTTTGGTCTCGCCTCATTGGCCAGCCAGAAGTTGGTTTATCGACCTCCGAAACATAGCCAGAGACAACCCCTGGAACTTCCGGTGTGGTCCAACCTTCTGCTCCATCCACACAGTCTGTTGCCACACCCTAATACCCGCATGTTATCGTCTGCACGCCTGACACAACTGCAGAAAGCCAAGGGCTATTCGGCTAGAGCGACCAAGGCTA